TACCACATCAATCGATTCCCAAAGCCAAAACAAACACAACTCGGAGCCATCCTATCGAGCTTGAGATTCATAGCGGATCTATTCATAAAAGAGGTAAATGATATATTGATTGTTTATTATTTTTCTGTACAGCATAGTAAAGAAACACATCAGTCTATGGACACTTTGAACTTACATAAGCAGTTACTTATATAGCTTGAAATTGAACATGTATCATGGTTAAACGTGCATTGTTCTTACTCGTTTGAGCATGGATCATGTGTCTATATCACATATAATGATATAAGTCAGAGAGGTGGATGAGGGCATTATGGTGAAAAAAGGGTGTACGAAGAATACCCTTTTGACCTTAATATTAGGTGGATGGAATAGCCATCGTCAAGACCGACTTTATTGATTGATGATTAAGGGTACAATATAATTATCAACGGGCTCAAGGAGCCATATATGTCGGCTTACATCTAGGGATAAGGAACATCTAGCTAAACTGTGAGCTAAGCTTCAGTGTTAGATGACCTCCTTTCGTGCACAAAAATAGCCTGTTGAAACTGTCTTCTTCTATTTGAGTTTTCCTTCAAAATTGTGTTGTAATGGCACAAGCCTGATCTCCTTTCACGATGAGGCCCTGTTTGTTTCTACCTTCATGGGAGCTTTGGAACTTCGGCTTTGGGACCTTCCAAAAGCCAAAAGGCTCCCGGAAGGCTTCTCAGAGCTTTTGGCTTTTGAAAGGTCCAAAAGCTAAGGTCAAAGCTTTCATGAAGCTGAAAACAAACAGGGCCTAAAGCATCTAAAGCAATGCGAACTCTCTTCAAATCCAGATCTGCTTCCAGTGACAAAGATAGCTTCACAGCACGCTATAGCTTCCAAATAAAGTGGCTTGGGTCTGAAATTTCACTGATGAGGATAGCAGAAAAGCCCTGATAAACTCCTTGTTGATCTCTACAAATGACAGACTGCTCATCTATTACTTCCCTTCGCCATCGCAGCGTCCACGTTCATCTTCATAAAACCTTCCGGAGGGAATCCTTTACACGTGAGATCACTTCAACTAGCTAGGAAACAGCCAGGCCATCACACGTTCTACTAGTAGTACTAGTAAAACATGCCTAATTCTCTTTTTTCTTTTCTTTTTTCTGACCCATCTATTTATTTTTTATGTTCCATCGCAGTCTTCTAAACCAGCATAAAAATCTTTCGTCAATACGTCATCAAGAACACAGCAGGCAGCAGCTACTCTCTCTCTCTCTCTCTCTCCGACGTGGGTGTTTGCAAGGCCGAATTATGGCCCGTCGTCAAACCAGCCCATCAACATGTGTGTTTGCCCGTTGTTCCTCTCCATCTCGTCCAGTAACTCCAGTTAACGACACCTCGCCTGTTCGCCTAACAGCCATGGTCCATGGACGCCAACCTGAGCTCACAGAGTCACACCCCACTCCTCCACAAGAGCCCAATAAAGAGCAGCAAGTCGCATACATCTCGTCACCACTGTTCCGTTCCGCTCCACAGAATTCCTCTCCAACACCACAGTTCTACCGACCCCTCGCGCGCTCTCGTGCCGTAGCCGAGCTGCCAGACAAGAATACGCCATCGTCGCTCCCTTGGTTTTGAGCATTAATAATCGTCCTGGTAAGCACGTACACAACAAAATTGAACAATTTGGTGGTGACAAAGGGTCTCCTTGACTCACCACTTTTGGAGCTAGTAGTGAAGTAAGGGCCCATCTTATTGTTTATTTTAACACGAATAGTGTCATGCTTTACCACCTGTTCATCAAGAACACCATCTATTAGAGAATACCCTCATCGTAAGGGACCTCAACAAGAAAGGCCCAAATGCCCTTATCATATGTTTTTTCAATGTCTAGCTTAAAAATGAGCTCAGGAGAGTTACTTATCCTAGTTTCATGTAAAGCGAGGATTTCATTGATGATATTTCTGTTTTTCATAAACGTAAACTGAGTTCTATGAAAAAGCTTGTCAGCTACCTTCTCTATTCGAAGTGTCAGAGTTTTTGTAACCAACTTGTATAAGCAATTCAACAAACATATAGGCCTGAACTGCTGAAGCTTACAAGCATCTTTTGTTTTAGGAAGCAGGGTAATGATCCTATAGTTAATTCTACTGACATTTACCTTTAACTATATCCCAACAAGACTGATAAAACTTTATAGGAATAGCATTAGGTCCAGCAGCTTTGTTGGTTTCCATTTCTAACAGAGCATCTTTTACTTCCACTTTAGTGAAAGATTTACATAAATCCTCGTTGTCCTGAGAATTTACCACCTCATTTGTCTCCCAAAATGATTATTTAATGAAATCATGTTTCCAGGTGCTGGCTCAAGTAAGTTTTTACAGTATTCAGTGGCGTGAGCAATGAAGAAGTTCTCTTTTCCCTCAGGGCCATTTGGATCCTTGGAATTCAATTCATTCAAATAATTATGATTTAGCTAGGCATAATATAGTTATATATGGAATATATTTGTATATTTATTGTTAGGCATACAAAGGACATACTTATATGTTGTATTTCTATCGTAGGGAAGTGAGTTGAGGAGTGTGCTATAAGTTGAAGATTAGAATTATAGCATAGTGATCTATAGAATTCATTTCTATCTTCCACCCTATGAATTTGAGATAGGCTTATTTGTGAGTTTGGTAATGTTATGGAATGTCAAATTCTAAGCCAAATAGTATTAACCATTATGTAAATTTCAATTCCTCCAAAATGAAGGGATTCAAATGGCCCCTCAATTTTATTTTCACCTTCCTGGAAAAATGGGATATAGTTCTTTCTTTCTCTACATTGACTACTTCGTGAAAAAATTCAGAATTCATATCACCTTTGAGAAAGTCAGGTTTCATGTGATCTTCTGAGACAATAGAGTTCTTCATAATCCAACAACTTAAAAACCTTTGATTGAATCTCTGCCTTTCTAGTAAGTTATTCCTGAACTAGATCAACAATTTCTTTCAAGTGTTCTGGAAGCTCTAGTTTAGATTGATATTCCTTCCTTTTTTCCTTTTATTATTACCCAATCTATTAAAACCCCAGCATTTGAAATAAAAATTGAAAGCCTTAAGCTTGGATTGGATTCCATCAAGAGTTATCTTAGCTCTGATAGACACACTTATCCCAAATTAATCTTACATGTTTAAAGAATTTAGGATCCTTAAGCCAGAATAGCTCAAATCTGAATTCTAGATGCTTTTGTTGTTGCACTGTCTATAATAATAGGGTTGTGATCAGATATCTGCCTAACAATCTTGATAGCTCTTGCCAAAGGAAACAGATCCTCCCATTCCCTGGTTATTAGAACTCTATCCAACTTTTCAAGAGTATAGGATAAGTTTGATTATTATTCCATGTGTACTTACCATCATTGGTGGTAATTTCTCTAAGTTCATGAGTTTAGATAACAAAATTAAAGAGGCCTGACTTCTTGTGACCCTTTTGTTTTTATCACTATCGCATGGAATTCTTCAATTATGGACATGGTCACATAGGGCATTGTGTTTCGAAGAGGTAAAAACATTATATGATAGTTCTAAAAGATAGAAAATTATGTCACCTGCAAATATTTCAATTGTAGATATTCAATCAAATATTTTTTAAATGACTCTGAAATATCTCATCTTCATGTGCAATTTCACAGCATCAAAATGCCTTGGTGTTGATGACATTCCCATTTGCGCCAATTTCCATTAGCATAGTACCTTCTCTGATACGTGTTAAATTATGCTATCAAGAATTGCATGGAAGAAAGGGAGGGCGATGGGACGCACCTTATGGATTTCCTGGGTGGCGATTCCAGTGGTCAGGGTCATTGTCGGTGCCTGCAGCTTCATGGTCACTGGCCGCAGCATCCCTTCGAGTGGAAACAAAAGAGAAACAGAGGAGGACAAACAAATGAAACGGCTCATCCGCCAACAATTGGTCTTTCCTCGAAGGATGTATCTATAACGCACAACCGCACACCTTATAAACAAAAAAGAAATGATTAGGATAGAAATAATATTAATTTTTTTGGCATTCCCTATTACCGGCGGCCTCCGCCACCGCCCTCCATAGGCCCTTCAGACCGCCCTCCAATCCACTAACCAAGGAGGCCGCTCACCGCTATCCACCACACCCGATCCTGCACAGCTCTAGAGGCAAACCATCGCTTGCCTCTTTTGACGCCAATACAAACTACTTCAAATGTCACCCCCTCACACCGCCTCTTCAACTACTGGTGAACTGGCCTTCCTGAAATTAAATTTATATGCAGTCCATAACCATGAGAACCCTAGTATCGCCATGCTTAAATATGGAGGAGGACAACCTACCTCATGAGGCGCCCATGGTTTGGATCTGGAGTGCACGGATAAGAGGTGGGGATTATTGGGGGGGGGGGGAGCGAGAAAACCGTGTTGCAAGCTGTTATTGATAGGAAACGAATATAAGGTTGATCCAGCGTCACAAGATTTGTTTTGTTCCTATGCGACAACTGCAGAGGTGTGCAGGCGTGACAGCTATCACATGCATATTGGGTAAGTAGCCTTAACAAAAAGAATGCATACAGTTTAACATTTAATTTGGCAATCAAGTTCATATAATTAAACAACATACTGTAATTGACATGTCTATAATATATAGGTTCATGATAATATTGTACCAAACTCCAATCTACTTCTTACAATACAACCATCAGCATGATGTCATATATCCAGGTATGGTTACCATCATGCCCTAGATTAGTAAGACCAAATGACACACATATACCACACATGCAATGGTACGATGCATATACTAGTACATGCATACACACATAGCTTACCGACTAGTTTATTACGGAAATATACAAAGCACGCAAATGCAATGCAGATATAGATATAACATGCATATTTATGTTAAGTCTTGTCTTTGCCTCCACCCTCCATGTTCACTTCTTCAGTATTTGTACTTCCATATGCCATCCATCTCTATGGTGGTGGTTGCGGACCCTGGGCCGGTCACGGACATCATCGACGAGATCTCAGCGGCATTAGCATGCTCATCCTTCTGCGACACCATCGAGGACGGCCGACTCTCCGGTGCAGCAACATCAGAGCCGCCAGCGCCGGCTGCTCCCATGTCCATCTGGGCAACTGCTGCTCCCATGCCCATTTGGCCAGCTGCTGCCCCCATGCCCATCTGTTCTGCTGCAACCCCATGTCCATCTGGCCAGCTACAGCCTCCATGCCCATCTGGTGGTAGATGTTCATCTGCGGCGGCGCGGCTATCGGATTGCCGAACATGGCATCGTTGATCTGGAGCCCGCCGGCGCCACCGATACCTGCCATAGGCGGCATCACTGCCGGCATCCCCGCACCAGCATTAGGGTAGTAGGGAGCCACTGGGTCCATGCCGAAGTCTGGTAGGATGGGAAATTGCATGGGCATCGGCACAGACAGCGGTAGCTGCAGCGGCATGGGGACGGGGATGGCTGGGATGTTGTTCTGATTTTGATCAATCTCAGCACTGGCCATGTTGACCTGGTATGCTGGTGTAGTCGTCTTCTTGATCCCAGTGGTCTTTTCAAACACGCGACAGACCACCCACTCATCCTGCACGAATTTCATTTGTAAACTGAGAGCAAAATCGGATTAGGCCGGGTAAACAAATAAAGCAAATAGCAGATGGATGCATGCATCATATCGGTGTTGTTAACTTGTTATCACTACCATGCACCTTGAAAGCAGAAGTTGAAGCTTTCATGGTTGTAGCGGCGTTGGCGGCTGAGCTAGATGCGGATGTGGGGTCGAGGAGCCTGCCGATGCCTTCGAGCCTGTACTCATGCATCACCCAGTTGGTTTTATCGCCCTTGGGAGCCCTGCCCTTGTAGAAGACAAGTGTCTTCTTCATACCGACCAACAACGCCACCCCTTCTGTGGTTTTGTAGACCTCCTTGTCTTTGCCTGTGGCTTTCCAATAACCACCCACTGTGGCCCGGTTCGCCCTCAGCCCCGTCGGGTACTTGCGGTCCTTCTGGTAGAAGAAGTACCACTCTTTCTTGCCCCATTTTGCTTTATCTACAACATGTGAATCAAGCGCCATATATTAGTCGATCACTAGCATAACAGCATGCATATCCACTACACAGTTCAAACAAGAACTAGGCGTATATTGATGTATAGATCAAGGATGCTTTGCTACATACCCCGAAGGTCCCATGGCTCAGTCTTGTTTATGTCAGCCTCTCCGATGGCGATGCAGGTGAAGTCCGTGTTGCGTACCTTGTTCATCAGGTAGTCACTGACAATCTCAACGTCACTTGGGTGGAAGCGGAACCCTAGAGGCAGGTCGAGGCCACCGGCACGGACCACGTTCATCTCCTGCTGCTGGGGCTGCTGCTGGTCTGCCATGGCTCTCTTGCTCCTCAACTAAGATCAGATCTAGGAAGCACCAACAACTATATCAAGCAACAAGGAACAATCTCCAAACAGTACTGAAAAAAAACAAAGCATATATACATGCACAAACTCTTCTTGACCTGTCGATCAGTCTACATCTCTCGCTCGCTCACCAAGATGGATGCAGGATGAGTTGCTCTGGACTCTGGTGCACTGAGCCGAGCACTGCAGCGTGGCTTAAATAGGCAGGAGGCATGTTCGCACAAGCCACTTTCCACTGATGCTTCCTGTCTCTACCCGTCTCCCGTCTTTTCCGGTGGTGGCTGTTTCTACTCGGTATTGGACTCTTGTTCTTTCCAACTGTGTCGTGCTTGTCCTCACGCACCCAGGCTTGCTTTCACGCCGGGGCTTAGGAGGACATCAACACCGATCATACATCCACGCCGTCCACGTCGACACCTGCTGGTCCTATTACTCGTGCTCGTGCTCGAAAACTTAATCATCAAGTGAGTTCCTTCTTGAGCTCTTGTCCATCCTGTTTAGATCTTGGAGACACGTGCACTCTTGTTTTGATTAGGAATCAAGGAGAAGACCGAAAGGAAAAAGGACTCGCGTAGGCTGGATTCGCCACGGTTACATACGGAGTCGGATTGGGGTGATTCTGGACTTGTTGGAAAGCTAATAAAGTCTACTTTCATACAGATCTGACCTCTTACTCATACCTGCTCAGAAGCGGCGTCAACAGTCTAAAAATCACCGAGAGATCTATTTTGTCCAGGGTGCTGCGCCACCTTAAGTTAGCCCAATGGGCTTGTATCGTTTAGAGTCCAGTAGGGACGCATCCTAGGGTTGGAGCACGACCCAAACTCTCTTGTGGTTGTCCTCCACACGTCATATACCCCTTAGCCGCCACCAGGAACACTTGGGTTTTGTTTAGATCAAATTTAGCCATCGCTACTTGCTTGTAGGCGCGCGTGCTGATCCAGTCGCCCGTCTCCTTGTCTTCGGAACCCCACTCATAATAAGATTCAGTGTGAAACCTTCAATTTTATCTTACAATTTCAGTGCTTATTTCCTCGTTCTTGCTAGTTCTTTGATTGCTTGCAGGACGGGAGCCCTAGGGGCTGGTTGTCGTGCTCCACAAGATCGTGACGGCCTTGGGAAGTGGTGTATCGGTCGCTAAGGCGCGGTCTTGGAAGGCTGTAGTCGGGCCGTGAACGTCATCTCCATCCACCAATCGAGTTATCTCACGCCTCTCATCGAAAGATCGACCACAAACCCTTGCGGGTTCATATCAATTAGTAATCGAGCAAGGTTTATCGGTGAGAGACTTCCAATCCTTCAACTGTTTTATTTTTCCTATAGTCCGGAAAAGCCAAAAAAATAGTAGATTAGTTTCCTGCAATCCTATAGACCTTTGAGCCATGGCTAGTGCTACCTAGTTAGGGCTTGTTGAATATTCGGTTGCATCGGGTGTGTCGGATTGCTGGTCCTAGTTTATTCCCTTAGAATTTCGAGTTCTTGTCACTTTCCTATCACAACACGCACTATCATATAGTCTCTCTGTTGGCCGAATCCAAGTAGGGTTTGAAGTTTGAATCGGATAAGGAATCGGCTGTTCTCTCTCTGTTGGCGAATCCAAGTAGGTTTTCAAGTTTGAGTCGGATCAAGGAATCGGTTATTCCTCGCCGTTGGCCAAGTCCGAGTAGAATTGGAAGTTCCAATCGACGAGGAATCGATTCCTACAATGCTACAAATATCAAACTAACCACGCAGCAAGTATTCATATCTAAACGAGTGGCTTACTCTAGAGAGAGAGAGAGAGAGTATCTTTTTTACCGAATACCCCTGCCCTTCGGAAAAAGTGTGTGTGCTGAGTTACTCTTTGGGAGTGTTCTTGTTCATATAATCAGTTTTAAAGTGCCCCTAAAAATATATATATATATATATTTCAAAAAAAGAGAAAAAAAAAAAAAGAAGCAAAAGAAAAGAAGATAAAGGGGCTGATCTTAGAGATTTTTCGTTCACTTTGGGTGGTGTGTTGTGCTCTCCTTTGTGTCCAGGCTCGCGTCTCTAGCACGGTCTAGACTAGGACCAAAGACACATTACTCGGTTGAACGATTATTCAGCTTGCTTTTTGTAACTAACGTGGTGCTAGTTCGTTCCTTGTTTCAGCCCACCTATAGCTCCACATATTCTACAGACTTGACAGTCTCGTCTTTGCGGCACCGATACACTTCATCCATTGCTCAGCAGACTTGTTGGTAGACGACCCCTCTGTCGAGCAAGGTAAGAACTGGTAAGAACTTGTGTAACAGTGGAGAGTGAGCGACTTGTCAGTAGCTACATCCTAGTAGTTGTAGGGCTTTTATTTCTTCACTTGTCTTCTTGTTGTCTTTGTCTTTGAACCATGCCAGTGGTCCAAACGAAGATAACCAAATTCCACATTCGCCTCGCATAAAGGGCGTCATACAACATTTTGAAAGGAAAGTGAAGCTGCACACGGAGGGACTTGATAATGACTTGCGGGTGACAAATGACAAACTTGGGGGCGGTTGGAGGCTACGCAGATTGCCGCAAACAACAAGCTTGCGGGTTTGGAGAAGTCCATTGCTAGTGTGGACAAAAGCCTTGCTTTGCTCTCTTTGAGGCATTTTGATGACCTCCACAACAATGATAAAGACAAGCATAAAGAAGAAAAGAAGGAGGAAGATCGAGAGGATGGTAGTTATGATGAAGAATACACAGTGATCTTCAACATGATGATCGAGACACTTTCGTGATCGACGTCGCCTACGTCACAACCGTAGAGGTATGGGTGGCCGCCACGACGCGAGAGTACACAATAATGATGATGCTTTCAAAGAAGATTAAATTTAAAATACCTCCTTTTGATGGTAAATATGACCTCGATGCATACATTACTTGGGAGATTGCTTTGTTGATCAAAAGTTTGCATGCCATGAATTTCCGAGAACACATGTGTTAGGGCTGCTACTAGTGAGTTCACAGATTTTTGCTTCATTTGGTGGATCGAATATGGCAAGAAAAATCCTAATAACATACCTAAAACTTGGGATGCGCTGAAACGAGCCATGAGAGCTAGATTTGTTCCATCTTACTATGCCCGTGATATGATAAATAAGTTGCAAACAATTGAGACAAGGTTCTAAAAGTATAGAAGAATACTATCGTGAATTACAAACGGGTATGTTGCGTTGTAAATTAGAGGAGGATGAGGAACCCACTATGGCTAGATTTTTAGGTGGGTTAAATCGGAAAATTCAGGATATCCTCGCTACAAAGAATACAATAACGTAACCAAACTGTTTCATCTTGCTTGTAAAGCTGAACGGAAAGTGCTGGGGACGGCGTGCTAGCGCAAGGACTAATGTTTCTGCAGGGAAAGCTAGTTCATGGCAGCAACGCGTCTACAACTCCGTATACATGTACTCCTACGCCATCATCTAGTGACAAGACTCGAGCTGCCCCACCAATTCAATGCGAAGACAGGCGCAAAAAGCCGGGTCATGCGAGTACTTCATCCGTGGCATCGACAATTAGAACAAGCAACATACAATGTCATCGGTGCAAGGGATATGGCCATATGATGCGTGATCGCCCAAACAAGCGTGTTATGATTGTCAAAGATGATGGTGAGTGTTCATCTGCTAGTGATTTTGATGAAGATACACTTGCATTGCTTGCGGTGACTATGCGGTAGTGAGGAACACATAGAAGAACACATTAATGCAGGTGTGCGGAGCACTATGAGAGCTTGATTGTACAAATGAGTGCTTAGTGCACAAATGGAGAAGGCGGAGCAAAATCAGCGACACACTTTATTCCAAACAAAGTGTGTCATCAAGGAGCGTTCGTGCCGCATGATCATTGATGGAGGTAGCTGCAACAACTTGGCAAGTAGCGACATGGTACGAAGCTCGCCCTCACCACCAAACCACACCCCCCATCCCTACTACATCCAATGGCTGAACAACGTTGGTAAGGCAAAATGGTAACGAGACTTGTGCGAATCGATTTTGCCATCGGATCATACAAAGATATTGTTGAATGTGATGTTGTGCCTATGCAAGCTTGCAATATTCTCGCTAGGTAGACCATGGCAATTTGATAGAGATTCGATGCATCATGGTAGATCAAATCAATATTCGTTTCTATACCATGATCGAAAAATTGTGTTGCATCCTATGTCTCCTGAAGCTATTATGCAATCTGATGTTACTAAGGTTTTGCAAAAGCAAAGAGCGAGAGCAATAAAATGACAAATCTGTTGTTGATGACAAAGATGAGATAAAATTGAAAGGACGTTGTATGCTTGCTACAAAATCTGATATTAATGAGTTCAATGCATCCACCTCTGTTGCTTATGCTTTGGTATACAAGGATGCTTTGATTTCATTTGAGGATATGCAACGTTCTTTGCCCCTCTCTGTTGCTAACATTTTGCGGGAGTATTCGATGTGTTTCCCATTGAGATACCAAATGGGGCTGCCACCAATGTCTGGCAGGATTGAGCACCAAATTGATCTTATCCTGGAGCATCTTTGCCCAACCGTAAGCGCCATACAGACCAATCCGGAAGAAACGAAGGAAATTCAGCGACAAGTGCAAGAACTACTAGACAAAGATTATGTGCGTGAGTCTCTTAGTCCTTGTCTTTGTTCCAAAGATTTTAGTGCCTAAGAAAGATGAAACATGGCGCATGTGTGTTGATTGTAAGGCTATTAATAATATCACCATTCGATATCGACACCCTATTCCACGATTAGATGATATGCTTGATGAATTGAGTGGTGTTGTTGTGTTTTCAAAGGTTGATTTGCGTAGTGGGTACCACCGTTTCGTATTAAATTGGGAGATGAATGGAAAACTGCTTTCAAAACTAAGTTTGGTCTATATGAGTGGTTAGTCATGCCTTTTGGGTTAACTAATGCACCTAGTACTTTCATGAGATTAATGAACGAGGTTTTGCGTGCTTTCATTAGGAAATT